GGAGATGGATGGTGGTGATAGTTGCGCAGCAATGTAAGTATATTTGGTGCCACTAAATGTACACTTAAAAAATATTAAAATGGTAAATTTTGTATGTATCTTACCACAATAAAAAAAAAGAATGTATAGGTGTGATTTGAAATAGATTCACCCAGTAATTCAGATTAGCACTTTGAGTTTTCAGGACTTTCTGAAACAATGTTTTGTAAAGATGTAATAAATTTTAATTTATTAAGAGAAAGACTGTAATTTCACTTTAATAGCAACTTTCTCTTAATCAGAGGCCTAGTGTATTGTAGTACCTGTTTAATAATTCTTCTAATAAAGCCAATGTTCAGCCTTTAAGTATAATGAAATTATCTAAACAAAAGTATAAAAGTAAAATACCCATTAGATTTAAAGAAAAAAGAAACTATAAGTAAGGTCACTAATAATTCTGGTGTTTATGCAGATTTGTAGTAATCAACTATGAGAATAAATCACCCCAACAGGGAGTGCCATTCCCAGAAAGTGGGCAAAATATATTAAAGAACTGACTCCAAAGTTCTTGGGAAAAGCCAGAGTTACCCTTAAAATACTGAGGAAGACTTTTGAAAATGCATTCTACAAATAGAATTTTTCTAATTTAAAATACTTTTCTGATCATAAAATAGCAAGAAATAAAATAAGAAAAAACTATTCATGTCCCAAATTCTGAATCTAGTTTCCTCAGTTACTTTAAAAAAATCTCACTTACCCTTCTTGTGTTTTCAAGGATTTTGGGATCAGGTTTTCCATAGTTGGGTGGATTGGCATATGGGTCATATCCAAGTTTGGCAAGCATGGGTGCAATCACTGCCATGTCTTGTACAACGTCTGGAGGTATCTTCCCAACCCATTTTGACAGAGCTCCCAGATTGACTGGCTTGATGACTTGGTCTGTAGATCTCTCCACTCTGAAAAAAATATAATATGAACAAATATTTAAAATTTAAAAAATAGTGTTAACCACTACAAATTATTTTTGATAGCTTATAAATTTTAATCATCTGGATTATAAAGTAATTGAGAAAGAGGGCACTAATCAGGTTTGACACTATTTACTAGACTTTAAAAAAATAATTTAAGTTTGATAGTAATTATTGGCAGCCTCGGATTTCTAGAAATAGGAAAAAGGGTCAGCTGAAACATCTGCATAAAATGTGTTGACATTTTAATTATAACATCCAGGAAAAAAAGCCAACAAAGATAAGACTGCTTAGCAAAACTGCCAGTCAACTTACTTGAAATTCATTAAAAAAAAAGATGGATTTATGGATGACTAGAGGGACAACAGATAGATGAACAGATATGTCATAAAGCAAATATGGCAAATGTTAACTGCAGAATCTAGCTGGTGGGTATAATTCTTTCAATTCTTCTGTATGTTTGAACTTTTTCATAATAAAATGTTGCAGGGAAAATAGCCAACCACAAACCACTAAGAATGCAAAATATTCATTTGTTCTACTTTCCTGTTGACTTCCTAAAAAAATTCTATTTTCTACAGAAGAAAAAGAACTACTGTTTATGATTTTCAATATTAAAGTACTCAATATTACAGAACAAATGTGTTCTACCTCTTGCCCTGGAAATTTACTCTAAACCTGTAATGATTACACTTACTGTATTTGAATAAATAACTAGTAACACCTTAGGATAAAATATAACATGAAATGACATTTGGATTTAAATTGGATCTGAATTAGATTTTGGCCAAATGACTATAAAACAGAAATGCTTAAGGAGAGTTTTAAGAAATCATTCAAACACAGTATTCTATTATAATAAAAAGTAAAAGTCCTTTTTCTTTAAGTATATGACCTCTCACTGCAGATAATCATTATCTGATGAGGAGCCTCTTGAAGGGGCTCTGCTCCTAAAATAACAGACAAGTGAAAATAAGATGACTCTTCCCTGGCATTCTATGAGGCCATCAGCTCCAGGTTTTCCTCTTGCCTCAACAACCATATTCTTTTTTTTTTTTTTAAGACCGAATCTTGCTCTGTCACCCGAGCTAGAATGCTGTGGCATCAGCCTAGCTCACAGCAACCTCAGACTCCTGAGAGGAAAATTGGGCTTGAATGTAACACATTAACTGCCATGTGAGTTGTATTTAACTCATGCTAGTTTTGTGCCCAGAGCCTCATGAAACGTATGTAACTCACACGTCTCTTTACCTTGGGACTGTATGAACTATTTTTCAAGTTGCATATAACTCATGTGCAGAAAACAATAAAAGGTAACAAATTTCATTAAATTAGAAAGGATCATTTTGTTCTCTAAGTTTTTATTCTATTTTCATAATAAACACTGTGGCCCCAGGGGGAAAAATTTTTTTCTAGCGTGGCAGTCAATGTGTTAAAATAGAGCCACATGGCCATTTGTTGACTAGAGGTCACATGCAGTACTCCTAGTTCTGGGAAAACCTACAGTCTGCTTAACTTTGAGAATGCCATAGCTGACTGTTCTTATTCATGTCACCTAAGCCAACCAACCAGAATTCAACCAATCAGAATCATATCAACCAATCAGAATTCAGCTGCACCAACCAATCAGACCTAAGTAAGTTTGAATCCTTCATTTGCATAAATGAACCTGATGGGGAACCTCATTAGGAACTTTCTCTATAAAAGCCAAACCCTCCCTTTGTTCTCTGGAATGCATGCTTGTTTTACACCTAAGCCTGCTGCATCTGCCTGGTTTGCAAATTGTTCACCAGAATAAAGTCTCTTTCCTTTAAATTCCTTTTCAGACAACTTTTGTTTACACACCAGATTATAAAGGAGGGTCTATGTCTTATTAATCTATCACCAGCATCTAGCACATTAACATATAATAGATACTCAATAAATGTTTATTAAGTGAATAATAGCTTTTCATGGGAAAAAACACACATATTTGTTTATGCAAACATGCTCAAGAGAAGTCAAGTATCATGTCTCTATAAGGAGATCGTACCTAACTGACATGTAAGATGAAACTAGAGAACATCGCATGATACTTACTGTGGGTGCATTACGAATTTTAGAGCATGGGAGCCGTATCTTCAGAGATAAAAACCTCCAGAAAAAAAGAAAGGCTTACAGGAAGCAAAGAATAACATTTTCTGTCCATTCTATGTCAGGTACTTTGCATATGATATTTAATTTCATCCTTAAAACAACCTTAAGAGAAAGGCATTATCATTTTTCAAATGGGTAAACTAAAACCCAGATAAGAGATTTGTCCAGGGTCACACAATCTGGAAGTGATGGAGTCAGAACTTGAGCCAATGTCTATCTGAAAAAGATCCCATTTTCCCCAGTATCTCTTACTGCTATCTTATTTATCACTTTAATTTTTACCTTCTGTGCTTCTGTGAAAACCTTGGCTTTCTGCTCTACACCGCACAGAGTGAACAAGTTGTTTTACCATGAGGATAAAAACAAATAAACTACACAAATAATAGGTATATCCTGCTGTGTTGATGTTTAACAACCTATTCTCCAAGGGGAAAAAGGCATGATTTGTAGCATTTACTGATGTCTACAGTGTAAGTATTCCTATTATGACTTATTTTACACTATCAACATGACCTCACTGACTGCAGAATTGGGAAGAGATGAG